GGTGACTCTCGTTTGAATCCCACATTTCCTTATTTCTTGACATTTTTTTAAGTTAGACGCCTCAAAGTGCAGATTGCCTGTTAGTGCGTTTCAATAGGACTTGTGGATGTTTCAAGCCGTCGTCTTTTAAAAACACTAAAATCAATCCTGCGCCTAAAACTAAGCACTATTTTTTTATTTTTCTATTTTCAACTATCGCTCCATTGGTTAAGCTTGAGGTCAAGCTTTGAAGGCGATTTACTTCGATCGATTGATTTTCACGATTTGATAAGTGGCCACTTAATTGTATAATAATTTGTAAATCACTTTTAAGTTTACGCATTATTAAGTTTTTTATGTTTATACCCCATTTAATTAGCCAATTTTGATCAGAACGCCAATGTAAAAATAAACTGGCAGTGCCTACAAATGTTAGCAATTTTTCTCCTCAGGGTGAATGAAAGCAAAGCCATAAATTTGTCGTCGGGGGTACCAAACGTACCACCAGCGGTAAACGTACAAAAATGCAGGTCAAATTAGGGATGGTCGGTATTTAACGGAACCGCTAAAATAACAGTGTTCCAAACGTGTAACCTGAAACCGTAGTTCCAGCTAGCCGATTTAACCGGTTTTTTTTTAACCGTTTCATAAAACCGAAATAGCGGTGCGCACTTCGGACACCGTCGAGCGATCTATACAGCTGCAGACGTTTGTCGACTTAAACCGTTCTTTTTGAAACCGTCTCATAAACCTGAAAAAGTGGTTCGCATCAGTACAGAACCGATGCGGCATCGTCAAGCGCTCTCGCTCTCTGCAGTTGCAGCAGTTTCACTAAACATTTGTCAACGGAAAATATGTTGTATGAACTTGCGCGTTGCCTTGATGATTGTGTATCACTTTTCGTTCATAAGAATTACTGTTCAGTTCTCCAGGAACCAGCAAAAATGTGTTTAGTTGCTGGGATGATGAAAAATTTAAAAAGTAACATGTTCCTTTTGGAACCCCATTTTGGAACCTATTACCAAGGTGAAACTGAAACGTTGTAACCCGTTACAGAAAAATAACCGTTTACCACACCTCTAACTTGCATATGAGCTATCATCATGCATAAGCTAAGAGTCTAAGACATAAATTCAATCACAGTTGAAATGTAAAATAATCACCGTTTTTAGCAGAATGTGCACCTGAGTTTGAGCAAGCTGGCGATTTTTAAATATAAATTCAATCAGAGATGAAATAAAAGTTATTTGAATAGTAATAAACGTTGTAGGGTCGACATATATTTTTTTTAATTATTTTCTTGAGGTACCAAAATTAACTCGAGTAATACTTCGTCCAGGTTTGCCAAACACGCATTTATGTTTGTTGTTATTGTGGATTATTTAATGTTATTATGAAACGAAATGCGAGAGATTATTTTCTAAAGCGGGTGCTATGATAAACGCGCGTAGAACTAGAATTAGTAAAAAGCATCTGCAAACAATTTTATTCTTAAATGTTAATTCATTTTTAAATGAAAATGAGATTTTTAATCGTTTTCGCATATAAACCGTATATTTTATTTAATCAATCTAGTTTATTATGTTTTTTGTTCTTTAAGTAATTACTTCTAAGGAGTAATTGTAAGTACTTACTCTAAAGGACACCATTATATATCATCACTATTTCTACTATCATCACCATTCTGCATTTTTAATTAAAACATTAAAAAGTAACATGTTCCTATTGGAACCGCATTTTGAAACCTATTACCAAGGTGAAACTGAAATGTTGTAACCTGTTACAGAAAAATAACCGTTTAGCACACCTCTAACTTGCATATGAGCTATGAGCTAAGAGTCTAAGACATAAATTCAATCACAGTTGAAATGTAAAATAATAACCGTTTTTAGCAGAATGTGCACCTGAGTTTAAGCAAGCTGGCGATTTTTAAATATAAATTCAGTCAGAGATGAAATAAAAGTTAATTGAATAGTAATAAACGTTGTAGGGTCGACATATTCTTTTTTAAATTATTTTCTGGAGGTACCAAAATTAACTCGAGTAATACTTCGTCCAGGTTTGCCAAACACGCATTTATGTTTGTTGTTATTGTGGATTATTTAATGTTATTGTGAAAC